GTCGTAAGCCTCTCTGTTGGATCATTCATCATAAGCTTATAAATATTAATTACATTTAAATGCACTATAGTGTTATCTAAATAACTTGACCTATCCACAACCATCGATGCTCTAACTTTATCGGCTTTTATAACAACCAGATTATTGCGACATAAATATCTAGATACCCCATTAAGAACTCAAGACTTCTTTGACATGGCAACCTGTTCAAAGTGAGGAATTACCTCCAGCCCTATACTCTTATTGACTTGTTCGGGTAATCTGTCTGATAAGCTTATTAGCTCTTACAGTATATAAAGAGAATGGTTTACTTCATTTGGTAGTGTAACATTGTATTCTTTTTCCAGTAGAAGTTTCACACCATCTTCCAGATATATACTAGATAAATTAATTACCTTATCCGTGAAAAATTGGTTAGAATTATCTTTATTAGTCCTTACCTTAGATACAAAGTCTCTCAAATGGATCCTAATGCCCATTTTTTAAGCTTTATATAAACCTTAAGCTACGTCGTATAACTTATCAATGTCTTCTTAATTTTGAATATGGGAAAAGGTTTTTCCTAGTTAGGTTTTGGTTCTAATCAGTTTGTGTAACTTATTAATGATTTCCTTAAGCCTAGTTTCAATCAAGCCACTCGATACCTGATCCAGTTCCCTATTAATAGAAATAAGTAAATCATAACTCCTACCAAGAATCAACATCTAGGAACTACAGTATGAGAAATACATAATACGTCATACATACACACACACGAACATACGCTCGAGTACAAACGTTTTCCAGTTATGAGTATGTATATCATATAGGAAAGAGTCGGATAGAATCTTAACTTAGTGTTAAATTGAGACTTGCAAGAATAAGTCACAGCTTTGATGATAGCCGGCATATGACAAACGTAGGCTCAGACCGTTTTAGCCAAAGACGAGGGAGGATGTCTAGTGTATCTCGTCAACCTGAAGGTCATATTAAAGCCAAACGGCAACAGAACAACGTGAAGTTGCTGTCATCTTCTGGTGAAACTGGCCTACGATTCTCTTAATCATGCTCTTCCAGGCAAAATTAAAGTCCACACCGATTAGCTTTACATAAACCAATTATAGTTGTAGGAGATACAGAAGGGTAAGAGAGAGCAAATGACCAAAACAATTACTTAGAGCTGCAGCTGGATTAACTGTATTATACACAGAGTTAAGTTAGCTTCAAAGTATTTTTGTTTTATAGACTAAACTAAGAGCTTAAATTTAGCTCGGTAATGAAGCATTGCTTCATCACTTGATCATATATATTTATTATTTCTATTTTCCCTTCTTCCCTCAACACTTTCTCTTCTTCTTCTTTTTTACTTTTCATATAGGACAAATAGAATAAAAAGTTTCTTAAAGCTCACTTAAGAGTGATATTATTAATCCACATACCAATCGTGTTTTAGTAATATTAGGAATTTTCGCCAGTAACCTTAGTCTGGAACTTAATTTGATCTAAATATTGTATTGATTAGAGCAAAGCGCTAATTAGGCTAATATAACCCATGCAAAATTGTATGGTCTTTGATAATCTTATCACTGAGCCCTAAAACTCACTCGATGGTGAATATCTCTGGCTCTGGACAGCCATCAAAAAGTACATAAAAGGGCACCTCGAAGATACCCAGTTTATCGGCCGAAGAGAATGATATTTGCACTGCCTGTACAGATGCAGGCCCAATAAGCCCGTCGTCTGGAATGACCTGAAAACACTTCTCAAATGCTTCTGTTGACCTGGCCTGAGCGGTGATGTCCGCCTTAGTGGCCTCTATATCAAAATGATTAATCCTGGTTTCAGAGCTCAAATCTGTCAAAGCTGGTTGAAGTTTAGCCAATGTTATTGGGGAAAGCGAGGAAGATACTGAGAATGGACGGGTTAGAGTCACCCTAAAAAGAGCATCAACACAACCTCGGTTAGCCAGCACCAGTTCATAGATGTGCCTGGCCCCCAAAAATACTTTTCCAATGCGTAATCGGCGAAAAGAAAAGTCGACATTTGGTCCTAGACCTCGGCCAATCATCCGAAGAGAGGAGCGAACTTCACGGCCACCCAAAATACAAAAGGCAAATCGCTCAAAATCTTCAGCACTATTAGGTGAGAACGTGATCTGCACTTCAAGGGTGGACTTCGCCGGCAAGTTGCCAGAAACTGGCTCAATGGAGAAAACGTCGTCCTCGAAGATGAGCTTTCCTTTGGCTAAAATCTAAGAGAAATTGGGTAAGCATTTATGCATGTACGTGTGTGAGTATGAATACAGACATGTCGCAGAGGGGGGGAGATCGAATGGAGGTTTGATCATTAAAGGCAAATAATTTCAGCTTATGAAAATTAAACTTATTTTATCTAAAAATGTGTACATGAATTCAAATAAAAATTATCAATTTCCTACGTGGCAATTTTTAGAGGTGCACTGTTGCAGAGGTCTTCTCCATCCTCGGGACTTCGTGACTAACTCCTGTTAAAGTTGGACAGGTCCTATCCATGCCAACCTAAATGCATCTTAAGAGTAAAATAGTATTTTGAATACAACCCCATAGCACTGCAGAGAAAATTAATTTTCCCCTTACAAAAGGATGAAGCAATTTTTCTTTTTTTTGTTCATAACTAGGATCTCGAAACTAGCAGTTAGTCAATTATATGACATGTATTCACCGTATTTCGTTTAAAGTGATATAGAACTGGTAGTTAAATTTTCCCATTGAATCTCACATCTTCTTGCTTTCCCAAGAAGTGCTCTCATCCAGGGTGTACTGCAGTTTCGACGTCGCCTAGGTCTTATCAGCACCCCCAGCGGGAGTCGAACAATGATAGGGCAGTGTGTAATCTCGACATGTTAACCACGACGTCACATTGCCATGAGTACCCTTGGGTCAGAGGGCAGATGCAGGTTTCAAGGAAGACCAAGCATTATCTCATATCACATTATTTTACCCCCTAAATTGGTATAGTACTTTGAGCACTTCCCAGGGCCTGCTCCCATGTGGACTCTACATGTTTTTGGTAAAATACATTTTTCGTTAAATTGCTATCAAATATCTCTGATAATAATTAATTTTGAAGGTTAGTTCGGAGTGTATTTAAGTCTCTATGCCTTAAGCCTTTTCTCTATCTTGCCTTTTGCAGGATGGAATTCATGCGAAATTAGGAAAAATCTCGTAACAGTCCCAAAATAATTCTTGGTATGAGTTATGCTAACTACTCTGTTGCTGAACTAGAAATTGGAAATAGGATATTAACCTGGCTGTTCGCATCATTATAATCGTTACAAATGGTTACTCCTTAAGAATCCTGATAGTAGTATTGGGAAAGATAAGCCTGGCGTCACGCAGTATATCCACTATTACTAGTGCAGGGCTGAATTGAAATAATTCTTATTCAGGAAAAATAGTTTCGATTGGTGTATTCTGATGGCTAAAGCCTTAATTTATGGGAGCTTGTGAAGAGGTCTGAACCTGTAAAGTAGTCCAAATGCCTGATTTATTTGTAATGGTGACCTATCCCCAATAGTCACTTTGTAGCCACAGCTATGGTATTCTGTTCCTCCCAATCAGCAGCGACTTTGAAATATGCTACCGAACATATCCAGTAAGATTGCTCTCGGAACGTCACCTATTTCGCCATGGTCATAGCTAAATGCGAATTGGTAGATGGCATGGAATGGAAACGATAATCCAAACAGCAATCAGCTAAGAACTTTGAAATCCTCAATATTGAAAGTAGAAATATATGTTCTGTAAACAAGCAAGAAATACAAGCAAAGAAAAAATAAATTACCCTACTCTAATTCATTTAGACGCTATCTACCGATTCGTATGCAGTTATAGACAAAGTAGCATAGGTTAGTAAGATTAGGCTTGGTGAACATGGGGTAGAATCTGTGTAAGAAGGCAAATTAGACTGTAAATACAATTATAAAGTAATTCTTGGGAACAAGGAAACAGACTTAAGGATAGTAAGCATTCAGAATAATTTACAGATTCAGGCCTCTTGATAGACTCCCGAAATTTGGGCTATAGCCTTCAGAATGCACAAGCTAGAAGTGTTTTCCGAGCAAGCATGCTTTGATTCGAATCTACCCTGGGAATGATGGTATGCTGTGTAACATCAGGCTAATTTTTTCCAATTGCACTCTGCTGTCTCTTAAGTATTGTCCTCCTGTTTGATTTTAAATTGTATCAAAATTATCGTCAAAATAACAAAAATTCACAATGTATCTCTAAACTTTGTTTTAGTTTTCACAAGTCCATTCGATAAAAATATCACTTTACAAATATTTTAGTTTGTGTCTCCATCTTGATGGAGCATTAAATAATAACATAGAACTTTTGCATCTTATATAAAATTATAATTTTAATATGCCTGCGATCTTCATCTAACTCATTCATATGCATAAATACCGGGAAACTATTTAGAAGTTAGCACTATTCAGATTCTGTAATGTATAACCTACTAAAATTGTTATAATCAAATGCATCTTATAGATTGAGGCATAAGTTTATAAAACACATTTGGCAAGTGTTTTACACAAACTGCACTTCCCTGAAGTGTAACTTTTCATTTATAGCCTTCCATTTACACCAACTTTTTTCAGAAGCCATTTTAATCTCTGATTTCTTCTTATTGAAATATAAAAGTTCACTCTAGATTTTAAACTCTATGGTGCTTTTAATTTTATGCCAACATCTGGCAATTTTTTCCTTGAATAATAGTAGCATTTAATAAGTTTAACGGACTTTTCATTCACTGACAAAATGCATGCTAATTACTAGATTGAAGGCTTTTAGAAGGCATAATAAAGTGGAATATCGCTAGTATTTTGTACTGGCGATTCGACCAACCCTTTGTCGATTCAACAGACTTCTTTCCAGTACAGGTAAGCTCATTTCATTTCCATTGATTTCAAGTCCCGATATCTTTGCCTCATTGTTCTGTAACATTGCTTGCCTTTCCATCTCGTTACTTTCAGCAGTTTTCCTAAAAGATTCGCCCTCCAAATATTTATCACTTCTGGTGGATGAATTATTTTCCCTCTCTTTTTTCTCATGTATTTTTGCCTTCTCTTCTTCCGTCATCATCACGAGCTGAGTTAACATCAATTGACGCTGGATCATCTCGTCTTGTTCAGTAGAAAAACGAGTCCACTGAAAACTAACAGACACCTCAGAGGCATTGACCAGACACACACGAGCCTGGCCCGTCAGCCCAATGTAGGTAGAAGGTAACCGGATTTCTCGTTTCTCCAGCCGAATATCCAATTCATGCGCTTTTCCAGTAACATTAGTGCGAACAACCTCACCTGTTCCAGCCACAGCCATTTGAACCAGAATATGGATATGAATACAAGATGCAAAAATGGCGAATTAATCATTTAGCATCAATTCCTTTAATATTAATGTTACTTATAAATATAGAATTAAAGAATTCATCTGCGAAAAGCCTCTTTCTATACTGCGTTAAATGCAGGCATTTATATGCACTTTTAAATATAGAAGAGCACGCATTTGAACTCAGGTTTGGTCATCTTGGTTTAACAAATATTTATATCTACAAAATCAGCATGCTAAACAGAATATACTGAGTAAAATATGAAAATTTAGAGAGTCAATTTAGAAACTTATGTCGTATACATCTGTGTAACGAAAAATGGCATTAGATCTTTAAAAGAGTTCGTTTTTAGGCCAGAAAACGAAGACTGGATTGCACATCTAATGGCCATTAGTAGAGCCAGGATATGGACAAGATTACAGAGATGTTCTACAATCATGAAAGATATCAATCCTACACTCCTTTTTTACATG